CATTCGATTCACACTGAAAATAAATTTGTATGTAGAGGCTATAAGAATTGTTGTTATAGAGATTTATCCATATTCTAACTTTATGAAATTATTATCATTAAACAACCTTAAGCGAAATAAAACTGACTCATTTAAATAAAAACTAGAAAGCACGTGATTAATATTTGCTTTTTGTGTCCTAGATTGGTACCAGACCTAAAACTCTAGCGAAAAATCTTAGTGACGGGAGATAACTCATGTATCGCTTCGGTATTTTCCGTGAGCACAAGGTGTGAGGATACAATGCTACGCGGCGATTTAATCCAAGTTTATAGGTAGCACACCACAGTAATGTAAGCCAGAGCTTTGAATGGCCAGGGAGGATTTCTTGGATATAGTGAATATTCTGGATTTTACCTTTTACCCCATGAGCATATTGTGAAAAATGGCCGTTTTCAATGAAAAACCTCCTGTTACAAGTTCAAACTGCTATGAAACTATGAAAAATGCTTCAATACTGATGAAACTTGGCACAAATGTTGACTGGACCATAGGCTCTGTAACAGCAGGCTCAATCGTTAATTTTCTGTTACCATGGCAACGGGGTGACGTCTTAAAATTGCGAAAAATCACTATTTTGTATTGTTTTTTTTCCATCAAAACTGATTTCAAAGTGCTGCAACTTCTCAATGAATTAAGATAGAGTAAAAGGCTTTTCAGCGTCGGTTACTAGTTACCCTGAGATCGACCTGAGGCCAGTTTAGACTGTCACATATCAAAAATTTCTTGGCGATGAGGGGGACTACCGCCCCCTTCAAACACCCCAAACAGAAGGGGGCACATCCCCCTTCTGGCAACCCCCTGATGTTCTATTTTGATTGGGGCCGAAAAGTGGTCACTTTTTAAACAACAAATGAAAAACAGTGTTGGGGGCCTAATAGGACATTTTTCACTGTTTATGGCCTCAAAAAGGGGGGGGGGGGGCAAAAAGCCGTCAAAACACGTCTATATAAGGAAAAAGGTTAAATGATGGTTGTCTTTAAAGTGCATTTTCAGCATGAAATTTGTTCTTGTGACATCTAATATGATCACTGGCAAATTCGAAAACATGGCCGGAAATCTCATGCTGTTGATAATAGATGTCAAGGCCGCCATTTTTGTAAACATTGCTACGGTTAAAACAAGTCATTTTACAGGGGGGTACCAACTTTTAGCAGTAGCAAAAAATCTACAAGGTTTAGCACCAGTTTCTTTGTGATATTTTGCATGTATAGGGAGTTGCTAAAGCAGAGACGTTATTCCTTTAGCCTGTATATTTGCAGGTATTTTTTGCCACAGGGACGAAATGTGTTGTTTTGGGTCTCGGGCCACTGTCGGTTTTGGGCTTCAACGGAATGAATTGCAACTTTTTTGACTGCCTGCCTATTGCAGATTGGATGATTTCTTTGTAGATTTGCAATCTTATGTCATATATGTTGTAATGGTATCTGTTTAACTCTGATACATTAACCTTGACCTTTATATGTTAGCACAGTATTATTCCATGAATGCCTGAATGGGCAGCTCATATATATAACAGGCGATTCCCGCCATTTACCAGTTCTTAGATTAAACTAGATTTATTCACATCTGTGTTCTTCTTATTGATTTACTTCAGAACTCCGTATAATTACAAGCTGTATGTATACGTACACAAAAAAGAAAATATTACATATGTTCTCAACAAAATGTGTTTTCTTTTTCCAGGTTGTATAGTTTGGTATCAGAATTATTAGACGTATTGCTTGTAGGACATTGACGGCAGGAACTTAACAGTGGAGTGCTACCCTGAATTTTCGTGGATTTTTTTGAAGAGAATATTTCAACGGTTACACCGTCAGAAATTACGGACTTGTACGGAAATATTGGTTCCCGGCCAGATGTATAAATTTAAATTTCAAATGTAATTTCGTATTCGTGTTATTGCAGTTCGTATTCGTCTAGGTGCGTTCGTATAGATTTTATTTCAGTGTTATGTAACCCACTTTGTATTCTTAAAAGAAAGGACGTTCAAGATCATAAGTTAAAACTAAATTATTCAAATTGAAAAGGAAAAAGTATGCATCATAAGGTCTAATCACGTAGTTTAAACAGGAAGTAGAAACAATTGATCCTTACATTCTGCAGTATCAAAATACAAATGTTTAACTGTCAATTAAAGAGTAGCACTTAAACTTGTTTAAATCAATTTAAATTTATATGATTATAGATAAGAATTTAATGTATACGAATATAAATAAGATAAAAAGAAATTGAAAGATAAACAGCGAATAAATACCCAAATTCTGCTCCATATGGGAGCATTACCGTTCATGAACAGAGTCAGTCAAACCGAGCCTGTAACATTTTTCAATTTGTCGGTTTGGGCGTTCTTTAGGGATTCCGTTTTTCTCTATTTTATATAGTCAATAGGTTTTATGGATTTTCCTTGTGAAAATTAAATTATTCTAGATTTTAAAACCACTGATTTTAAAACATCTGATTTTTTTTTCTGCTAAAAATATGAAAATGAATTCATTATATTTATTTTGTTGTTTGTATTTTTGTTTTTGTTTTATATTGTTAGTTTATTTACTTTTCTTTTAACATGTAAAATATCAATTCTAACACTATCGGAATTTTTCCTATATAGACAAAAAAGGCCAAAAGCGTGCATTATTCTACAACAATGCACTCGCCGTTCTTATTACATGTACCTCCCTGTGTATTTTCATACCGACACACAATCTCCTTCGCAGTTATCTCCCCTTATCAGTACAGAGATTACAATTCTGCCAAGGGAGGTTATCACTGTGAGGAGTTGACAGCGCCATTTTGTTTGAAAGAACAAAATTCGAAAGTTGTTGTGGAAACTATGTAGAATGAAAGAAAATGGTCTAACTAAGAAAATGAATCGAACATCGGCGTTTAAATTGTTGTTTACGTGACGCCCCAATGTAGCGCCAAACAGCACGTGCAAAACAATCAAATCAAGAACGCTATTAAATTTAATCTAATTTTACAATCAGTACTTTGTATTTTGCTTGAAAATATATTGTGAAATAAAATAAACAAACATAGTTTTATCAACGTATTCAAAATTCGTTATTCTACACAAGGTAAATTAAACGACGATTTTTAACAGCCTTTAAAGAACGTTTCTAGTGGAAACTCTGAGGCGACACCAAACATATATTTCAACTTAAGAAATAATATATCCCAAACTGTGATTTTATTGCTCAATAACATCATTGTTTGGAGTTCGGATGCGGGGAATTATATCACGAGGGCGTAGCCCGAGTGATATAATGATGCGCATCCGAACGACTACGAACGACTACTACTACTTAATCAACAAAATATTGATTTAAATTTAACTTATAGGTATTTTTGACTAAAATGCAAATGTAAAAGACTGTGAAAGATGAAATTACTTTCAATCTTTATAAAGTCACGTATTTGTTAAAGTTTTTCCTGAATCGAACGATTTTCGTATTTACAAGAATGTAACCAACTCTACGTTCAGTTTATGGTTTCTGACCCGACACTGAAGCAAGAAATGGCCAAACAGTGATTTGTTGTGTCAACTGATTTTCGAAAATCATTGTACGCCAATAAAACCTATGAACCAATAGAGGTTTGATTTACTAAAGCCCTACTCGTCAGGATAAGCGAACAATATTGCTTCTGCTAAAATGTTCGGTTTCTCCTAGTTTAGCCTTTATATTCCCGAACTCTTTCACTTAAAAGCCGGACACATTATCATATCTTGCTTGGTAAAGTCGGACACAACACAATTTCGTTTGGTGAACGTCAGACGCAAGACCATCAGGACTGCTTTGTATAAGTAGGACACAGTACCATGTTGTTTTGTAAATGTCGACACAATACCTTGGTGTTTGGTAAAAGTCGGACACAATACAATGTTGTTTGGTAAAAGTCGGACATAATTCCGTCTTAGTCATACTTCATAGCACTTACAGCTCATCTATTTTACTTTTAATTTTATTTTACTTAAAATTCTATCTTGTAATAGAAAGACATAGAATCTTTAAAGAACGTGCAAAACGCCAAAATTGAAAATGCTACAGGCCCAGTTTAAATGAGCCTGTTCATGAACGATACTGGAAAGTGCAAGCTACCGTTCACGCCTCCTTGCACAGGCTTAAGCAGTATTCAACATTAAACAGGTACATGTACTGGTGACATTTTTAATTTTAAAACATCCGCAGATGTCAATGCGACAAGTTAGTGCCATTCCATGAAAAGCGGCGTATGGTGCCCCGCTTAAACGAATACGTGAGCCCTGAACGGGGAAACGATGAACGAAGCTAAATAAAATGGAATTAAGAAAGGGGATCAGAGGCTATGAATGTTAGATAAGCTGCCAGTAGACAAATTTAAAAAGCAGGCAATATATCCTAAGAGTGATTGTACAGTATTCAATTAAGAAATACTCGAACCACCAAAATAGAGATGAAGAATTAAAATTTCCAAAAATATAGCAATAATGTCGCGCTGAACAATCTTCAATGTTCTGAAATATAACGTCTCTGAATATTACCAATATTTATAGTACCAATCAAGTTTTGTTCGGTTCAGTTACAATATTAAAAGATAGTTTCGTGATAGAATCGAGCCTGACGTCTTTCTTTAATTTTTTTCTCTCATAATTGACTCCATTCTTGATGGAAGTAGTACAATAATGATACTGTGATAGTTGAAAGAAATATATGCAAACAAGAAATGTAGATTTGCAGATTTATTAAATAAATATGTGAAGTCTGCATTTATTATTTTATCATATATTAACAAAATTCGGTTATAAAAATAAAAATGTTCAACATTAACGGACAGGGTTATAAATAATATATGCACAATGAATATAAAATAATTATAAAATGATAATAATAATAATATTACAAATGACTAGCTTAATGCTTGTTAAAGCATTTATCTTTTAATCCAAAATATATTTTCTGGCCATATATAATAGTTATAGGGGTCTAAAATATTAGTTTTTGCAATATCCGTGTATGGGAGAAAACCATTTTTCATCAAATAATCAATAATCAATTGTCCATTTTTGGTATGTCTGTGGTGTACCCATTCCATTAAAAATTGCTTTTCACGTTTTTTTGTTTGAAACAAATTATGGCCTCCATTTAAAACATTTCCACTCATGTCCTTCAACATCCATTTTTGATAAAAACGTTATTTGTTCCTATATACGGTACGAGGTCGTCTAACAAAATGGTTTCCGCTTTATGCACGCTGACCTCTGGTTTTATATCATTAACGATATGTGCGCCACCAATGTTTTCTTTTGGAATATCAACGATAACTGTTTTATATTCGTCAGACACGGCATTCAACACGAGTGTCACATTTTCTGCAAATCTACCAGCATGAACTGATTTGGAAAGCAGGATTAAATTGTTGCCTACAGGGTCAACTGATACCACTTTAATTCCAAGTTTACCTGCAAATATTGTATACACGCCAACATTGCATCCTAGGTCTAAAAATGTCATATCCGGGTACTGTTTTAGAAAATCTCCAGTTTGGTTTAGAAGATCCTCTTCCCAAGTGCCGTAACTCTTCAAATGAGCCGAAATCATGTTGTCCACTTTGGAGGAGTACACATAGATCGGTGATTTCCCTTGATACTTTCCCAAAGATAATTTTTCTTTTATTTTTGAAAAAATTCTGTTTTTTCCCCAACTTTATGTTTGTAAAAAATTTACTTTTTTGGGGATAAATTTTTGGTTTTTTGTCTGGTTCGAAACCTATAGGTTTTAGCTTTATTATTTTTGATAAAACGAATTCTCCCTTTTTTTAAACCCTTTTTTTTCTTTACTGAATCTTTTTGTGTTGGTACCCACGTGATTTTAAAAGCCCCCACAATGTTTTTATTATTTTAGTATTGCTTTTTAAATATATAAACTGTTGATCGCTTTACATGTATTCGCATGTTAACCTAAACTATTTACATGTAGAAATCAATATCTCCTGCTTTCACATTTTAAAAATGTACTTCTCTGTAAACACTACTCGTATAAGGCCTTATGGGAATGTTCTGAATTTTCATAAGTCAAGTAAGAAAATATACCATTTTGCACACAAGTATGAATCTTAATATCTGATAAATCTTCTTATATAAAAGCCTTTATCTCTTCACCTCTTCTGAAATGAATACATTTTGTAATTTCAATTAATACATGAACAAATAAGTATGATTATTTCACATATAAAAACCAATATAACCTAACTACACATATGAAGCAACAATATAACAATTAAAATACATGAGAAATAACTAAATACATGAAAAAATAACAATCGGTATGCTTACTAGCATTTCACATATACATGTTTTGATTACATAAATATGTTCCCTTCATATATGATTAATCAATATATGCATGCTTACTTCACAAATAAAAAATCAATATAACCTAACATCACATATCAAAAATAAATACATGTTTTACTTCTTATATTAAAATTAATATAACCTCAATCCTCATTATATTAAAAATCAATACCTCATACTCCACACATTTGAATACTAATAACTACATTCTTCTCATACGGAAAAAATCAATATAACCTCACCTCACATATGAAAAATCAATATAGCTACTGTTCACATAAAAGTAATCCCCTTGTATTCAACAATGATAATAAATAACAACTGTGTCTTCTTATGGATAATGATGCTAAGGGTTTTCGATCTCTTGTCGTCGGAGGCATGTCAAAACCTGCAAAATAATAAAAAAATATTTTATTTCTTTTTAATTTCTTAACTGGTTTTATGTTTTTTTTTAAAAAAAATCATAAAATTTCGTATCATATTTAGCGGGTTTTTCATCAAAAATTTAAATTTAAAAAATAAAACTTAACATACATACTCGACCTTTTTTAAAAAAAAATAAAAAAATAAAAATACCCTTTAAAATTTTAAGCTGTTTAATACCTGAAAAAGAAAATATTCATATAGATCTCATTTAAACAATTCCCAAGTTTTTAGTTAAAAATATGAATTTTTTCATTTAAATATCAAAATTTTTTTTACCTTGTGTCCTATTTTAACAGGACTTCGGTATAAAATTTGATTTAAATCCACCATTAAACACACGGTTTTAAGTAAAATATCATACGTGGTGAGTGTTAAGCAAGTATAATAATCTCGTTCTGATATCTTAATAACTACCGGCAAATAAAATACCTGTCAAGGAGAGAGTGTATGCACATGTATAATAAATCTATATTTAGACAAAATAAACAGTGACGCTCTGATTATTTTGCCAACAGTGGCAGATAATTTACCTTAGGGTGACGTGCTGACAGATTTATCTTACCTTGATGCGCTATACATTAAATTTTAGTTGTTCATACATTAATTTTGTTGTCATTTTAGTGAAATATCGATCTTACAAGATATTGTTTTAACAGGTGAATTTATTTTATCAAAAAATATTGAGCCGTCATTCTTATGGTGCATGTATTAATTTTATTTATTTATTTATTTATTTATTTATTTATTTATGTATTTATTTATTTATTTATTTATTTATTTATTTATTTATGTATTTATTTATTTTACTTTAAAGTTCTTAAGGGATTGAATAATGTATAGAAAATTCATTCACTGTTTATTTCAAATTGTTTTTGCTTGATCGATTACTTAAAATGATTGTGTATATTTTAAAATTTAAACTACTCATTTGGATAAACTTATCTTCTAGGACTTGACTAACTCAATTTAAGCTCAATGGTGTTCAGAGTAATGTGTTGATATGTCACTAAACAAAAAAAAATGAAGGTTCTTATTTTAACCGCTAAGGACGATCTGGTCATATTGTTTGTGCATATATATAAACTCTTTATTTCCGCTTTTCAGCGATTACAACACATACAACATGAAATATATATACAAACATATGATACATGATTATGACAAATGTACATTTATATATTATTAAAGAGAGATAATAATTAAGTTCAAGTTAAATGGTTTAAATATATACATGTATATAGCTTCTATAATGATTAATATTTCTTATATGATTAATATTAGCATTATATCAAAGGTATCTTAGAGCAATAAGTATTTAAGCGTAACAATAAAAAACACAATTTTATATAATTGTTTTAATACATATTTTCATATTTAAATTTCATTTTGAGTTACATACTGATAATGCAATGTAATTATATATGGTTTAAAATGCCTCAGTATTCAACCTAGTTATCACACAATCTTACCTGAAACGAATATAAGCTATGGTAAGTTAGGTAATAACCGCTTAAATATTTTCTGTCATTTGAAGTAACTCCGGCCGTCCTTGGTACTTTTTTTAATTTAAGATAAAACGTTTAGTTATTAAAAACTAAACAATCGTATATAAACTTACAAGCATTTTGTATGAAGTCTTTTTGGAGAAATTCAACTATGTCATATATATCCAAGGCAACGAGGATTTAAAATTGTTCTTAAAAAACGTCTCGGCTGTAATCCCTTTTCAGGAAGTTACTGGAGTTCACAAACTATATTGTTTTTTCAACACTATTAAGGAAAGTTGTTCGAGGCCTTTTTAAGTGAAATACAATATTTGATATTACATGGAGATTTAGGTCAACATTGTTTGATAACCACACTTCTTGCATGTTTTTACATCACTTTGCTTTGGCCTCAACAAGAAACTTTAGCAGTACATAATGCATGTTTTATTGAGTTAAAAGAGTCGGAATTCTTCCATAATATTGATGGGCTATATCGGTATGTAAAGTTTAAAGCGTACAAATCATCATCGCTATTCATTCTTTCTGACCAATGCTGTTGTTATGATATTTGCGTAATAGCGTTAAAAAAAACTGTTCGTTTCCATTGTAACTTGTCAGGAAAGATTGCTGTTTGTAAGTAGGATTCAAATCATATGGAAAAGGTTATATTTTCTTAGAATTTACAGACATTCAGGTATATATCCGCTTTGTCCATTAAACTGTCTGTTTGCATATAGGTGTAATCTGAAATTAAATATTTTTTCTTGTCAATAATTTGAAGGCATTGTGCACAGTTTCTGCAAGGAAATTAAGCTTTCATTTGTCAATTCTGCTATAGCAGGTAACCATCCTCAGCATGCTTAGAGCATATCAGTTCGAGTTCTTCTAGGAAAGTGTTTTTGAATGCATTTGGCAGCTAACCGGAATAATCTTTCCATCTTAAGGATATCAGTGTCTGTCAAATCATTCCATAATTCCGCTCCGTAAGTTGGAAATGTAACTTTTTTCAACTAAAGAGGCCAAAACTAAAGGGATTCACGTCGCCAAGGAGTCTCGTCGATAGATAGAATAGAAAATAGAGATGAGCGGCCTTTCGATACGCGCTTCTACAGCACTTGAACATTTTTGCGAATTGTGTAATTCAATGCCGGCGTGAGTCACCGAGTCCCACCGGACGTAGGGAAGCACTTCGAAATTAATATTTATATCTTTAAACGCATGTCTGCCAGAATTACCAAAGTGCATTAATTTGAATTTACTGTCATTGAATTCATATCCCCATCTGAATGCATATTTGTTTTCGCTATATTCAACTGGTGTTCAAGAGATTTAATGTTTGGCGACAGAATAACGATATCGTCCGCTAGCGTTGGGTACCACTTTCTTATAGATTCAATAACCGTTCCATGACCACTTAAGCTGTAATGACTGAAGAAGTTCGTCTATAAAAAGGAGATACAGCCATGTTGACAAAATTCCTCCTTGACGAATACTTCTGTTGTATTTTAAAGCTTTCAGACAAGATTCCGTTTACTAAGATGTGTCCGGTTAAGCCAGTGGTAACTATTTTTGAGCATTCTTAAAAATATTCCATGAATTCCAAAGTTTTTCAAATTTATATGAATAGCCCATTATGTCTAACATTATCAAAGGCACCAGCTGTGTCAAGAAACATAGCAAAGGTATTCGCATTTTAGTTCACACTGGATGAGCAATCGTTTCTTGAAGATTAAATGAAACCGTTAAGGGGACCTAAGTATTTTTGGTAAGCATTTTGCTGCTCGTTTGGAAAATTCTTTCTATTGGCTTTTGGGCCCATTTATCTAATCGTTTCGTGCAGTATCTTTTTCAAAATGTTTTGTATACTACGGGTAATAGGCTAATTGTCTATAGCTTTTTGGCGCACCTTTCGGTTTTCATCTTTGTATATAGGGATAACTATACCAATTTTTACAGTTAGCAAGGTATTATGGAATGTTTGAATCATAGCAGAAAACAGTTTTTTGAAGATATTTATTTAAAACATCACCACCGAATATAAATGCTCGTTTACGACTTTGTCAATACCCGGTTGCGCTTTTTAAGCGACTTCAGGGCACTTTCGATTTTCAGATAATTTCACCGCTTCAGATAAAATTTCATACGTCTTTATAGTCATCTGATTCTAAGAAATTTTTCACTTCAATGTCTAATTGATCTAAGAATTTAGAGTCAAGTTTTTCATTATTTTTTTGGCGAAAATACCTGTTCAAAAATAATTCCTGAAAATTTTAGCAATTTCATATGGGTCACGGCGTGAGAATGTCATTGTCTTTTAGATCTGTTACGTCTGAAGCTGATTTGCCATTTTTTCTGCGAAATAAGCTCCAGAAAAGGCGCATGTCACATTCTCCGTTGTATTGAGTTCTTCATAATATTTATCACGAAACATATGTATTTTCCTCTTTTTGTGTATTTATAAAAATGTCGCTTGCAGATTTATACAGAATATAATTATTATCAGTCTGATCACGTGATCTCCCATTTAAAATCCATTGTATTTCTTGCATTTCTTTGTTCAATATGGGCAGAATTTAGTTTTGGCGACCAGTAGGGCTTTGCATGCTCATTATAATTGCTTTTTGGTAAGGCGTTTTTTTGAGGCACATTGAATTGCTGACACTATATGAGAATACAGAATTTCGATGCCATGAGGACTAGGAACAAAATCACTTAAATCAAATTCTAATATTTTGTTTCTAGATAATATGAGTACATTTGAAGATCATTGTCTGTACATTTATTCCATGCTATATGATCAGTTTTCGAGAAATACGCCATGATAGATCCACTTATCACAGTGCATATCGGTTGATGATCCGAAACTGAGCAACAATCGTCATCTATAATGTTACATTTAGTAATTAAGTCATTTCTCGATTTAGAAATCATAACCCCGTCTAGCATTTTACGTGTTGGCTTTAAGGTATAATCAAGTCCATTCGTTCGTGTTACTCTCAAATTGTTTTGATTAAGGAACTGTATCAGAGCTGTTGTCCTTTTGTCAAAAGATTCTGTAAAATGTAAATTTACGTTCCAATCAGCACAAAAAAGAACGGTTCCCAAGGGTGAGTAGGTATCGTAAAGACTCTGTAAGTTGTCTAAGCATTCTTTGTATTCTTCCTCGGTATAATTCACAGATGGTATATAAATGCTGAAGATATATACTGGAAGCATATTTTCACAATAAAGTTGAATACCAACAATTCTATGAGAGTTTGTGTTTAATATTGATTTTGTACTAAAAAGCAAGTGATTTCTTATAAAGGATGCTCACACCTCCTTTGCCGCATTTTACCAAACTTTCATCACATACTGTGAGAGCCTTATAATTCCCCGTGAATTGTATCTAGAAATGAGGAGGTAATTGGCTTAAGCTTATGTTCAATGATGCACGCTATATCTATATTATATTTATCAAGTAGATAGCTTATACTTCCAGCTGATGACATGGCCCCCACGAACGTTCCATGTGAGAACGTTGCAGTACATTTTGGTATCAGTAACTATATTGTTGTATGTCATTTAACATGTAGGTATAATAATACTTAGTGTTGTTGTATATATCATGAAGTGGGTTAGTTATCAACTGACGGACAGTCCTGTTTCTTCTTTCTCTTTGTATGTGTAAAACTTTGACTCCCATTCAAGTTTGGAGTACCACCTTCTACAGTATATTTTTGCGGGGCCAAAATTTCTTATCTTCAACAAGATAGCATTGATCTTGGTAAACAGTTTTTTTTGCTGATAGACTACACGATGGGTTCTATAAGTCTTTAACTCCTACAGGTGTGACTTTATTTTCTTTAAGGTATTCGCTAGTATTATGCCATCTCTATTTGAATAGGAAGCTATACCTCCAACATATATTACCGCCTTGTTTTGCGGGAGCGGACACTTTCAAAAGACAGGATAACTCTTTTGATGTTTGATTCTCACTTTCTGCATCGAAAGAGGGACTTATATAGTTGAGATAGATGATGATTCGGTGTTTTCGTGGTATTCATTTTGTGTAGAGTTAT